GTCAGAAAAAAGGTCGTATATAACAATGAGAATAAGTCTAAGATTTTTCTCAAATCTCAGCTTACGTGAGACGAATCTCGGAAATGTTGGTGGCACGGTGTTTTAAGAAAATCTCAGGTGAGGCAGAAATCTAAGATTTGAGGTTGAGATTTGAGCTGAGATTTTTATATGTTGGTGGCCCCGAAGCCAGGCCTTTTCTAGTCATTGAAACCTGTCAAAAAGTTGACAAGGGATACTCCCTAAGGCCCTTAACTTTTTTCCAGTTTAGTGTTAGTTTGTTCTAGTGGTCAATGATGGTTGAAAAATGAAAGCTTGAAATATGTTCCCCACCGTTGGCACCACTTGGTGGTGCCACTACAGCCTCATACCGATTGCGGGAAATGATAGTCCTAGAAATCTATCTTGCCACAGTAATGATTTAAAGCACACCACTCTTATAAGATAAGAGGTATGATAGCTGCTTGAAATATGTAATCCACCTTTGGCACCACTTTGTGGTACCACTTCAGCCTAATTTTCATGGCCGTATATAATAGCCCTGTGGACCCTTTACTTTGTGCCATTAATTGTTCGAAGCACATTTCAAGGATAATAACTTAAAATAGATTAAAATACCTTCAAACCCTTATCAATGTAAATATTAGGAGTAAGCAAATTCCAGGTTAGCCTTTTGGCACCATCATGTTCCTGAGACCCGTAAAAGAGCTTAAAAGGGATTCTCCCGGAAGTACTTAACCTATTTTCAATGTTGGTTTGTTCTTAAGTGGTCAAAGATGGTGACATTTTCTCTTTTTTGTGTATTTGTTTTGAAAGCGCATAATTTTCCTTATGCAGGTGAGCTTAACTGCCTCCAAGTGTTTGAATTATTAAATAATAAAGTATTGCATTAATTATCTAATTATTAATTATAAATTGTCGAAAATGAGGCATTAAACAGTATTGCGTCAGAGTACTCTCAGTCCTTTGATGAATTTCCTTATTGGCTGCTAGCTTCTACGGGCTTAATGGCTGCTGTTATTGGCTGCTAGCTTCAGTCTAGTCCTAAAATCGTTCGTCACAGATCTGCAAGAAACGTTTGGTGATTTCTAAAGGTATTGTATTATAATCTAGTAGGCTTCTGTCTAGGCAATTTATTCTCAGATAATTTAAACAATGAAATGTGAAGATAACGAACGGTGATCATGCTCTAAGTCCACTCAAACAATACAAATCATAAAAAACACGGACCTCTGAAAAGAGAGGTGGGATCAGGTGCCATGGAGGAGTGAGCATCTTATATTGACCAGTCACACCCTCTGTGTGTTCTTTCTCATGATCGGATAAACGAAAAAATCTGCAGACAATTCAGTGCGAACATAAGGGCCTACCAATTGTATGAAAGACGTCAGTTAACGTACACGATTTAAGTTTTGTGTTTTTTTTTCTTTCTCCGAAATATGCCTTAACATAGTAATTAAACATATTGCACCATTAGAAAACATTTAAAAAGGTCGCAAATATAATAACCTTTCTTCACTTAAATCCGAATTCTTTCCGTCTGCAGTATAGTCGTTGCTTTTCCTATGTTAATGAAACGTTGAGTGAAAAATTAATTTTTTGCATACAATACCTCATACATCATTACAAAGAAAACGGCATCTTATTATAGTGGTAACAGAAATTGACTTTGACTTAAATTGCTAAGTTGGAGCAGCATGGGAAATTTATTATCTGACCAATGATGACGTAGTAGGGTATTTCGAAAGACATGTATCCAGCCACAGCATATATATAATTGTATGACTGTACAGGCTTTTCGTTTTATTAGAGAAATAAAAATACTCGTTTTAGACAAATTTACTCTTTAAAGAAATGAAATAAATAATGTGGACTATACAAACTTGGGAATTTAGAGTTTAAAGACGTACAACACACTGGGGGAGATAACTCTTGCGATTTCAATAAAACGTTTAACATAACGTTAAATTTGACGTTAATTACGAAACGTCAAAATGACGAGCGATACGATCCCGATGTAATTAATGTAAAAAAAAAAATAGAATAGAGGTTTTTTATTGTGATTTCTTTAGGAATACCAAATCCTATCCTTGATCATTTGCGCAATTGCAATAAATCTCCCCCCCCCCCCATAAAAAAAAGAAAAAAAGGACAGGTTCCCTAAACTTCTTTAATTTAAATTTAGTTAATTAATTATTTATGATATACACTAAGGCATTTTTTAAATCTAAAAATGTTAATGGTACTCTACATTGCTTTTTCCCGTTACAATCGGCCGCATAACATTGAGAATAAATATTACCGGTATGTCTTAATATTACCATATTACGAAAATAAACATTTTCTTTCTTTTCTTTTCTTTGAAAAAAAAATGAAAAAGAGTAACCGTTTTCAGAAGGTCACTGATCAAAGAGAAACAACTCTAAAAATGTAGAGGTGTATGTCTTTCCTCCCCTTAGCTGAGTTATTCCTCCTGTTTTCCGACGAATTATGAGTTTTTTCCCTCACAAATACACAGATACATCAAAGATTTTACAGTGTGTTGCAAGGAACACAAGAACTAAAAGCCAAAGTTTATAAAATTACAGTAAGTATCAACAGTTTAAAATTATTTACTGAAATTAATACAACGGTTGCATCCCACTGAGAAAATCTTTTACTGTAAACAGTATCAGTTCGCATTTCCTCGAATAAAAACAAAACGATTGATACCAATGTAGATGATACCATTGTAGATGATTAACATGAATAATTTTAATACTGATAAATAATTTACAATTTGGTACGATTGAACTTAACGTGGACGAATACATCATTTCCATTCATTGAAACAACAGGAGGATACAATATCGGGGGGGGGGGGGGTACCCCTCTCGTTTGAAAACAGAAATAATTTAAAACCTAAATGTACATATATTCCATTTTCATCACAAGAGAGTTGTACATACACCACTGTTGGTTCACTTAAAAAAATAATATTCAATGCAAGTAGGTCATATAAAGGTTTGAAACTGCACCTGTGTGCATGAACTCCAAACCGGACACGTGGTCATAAAATCCTTAGAAAAATGGTTTTACTAAATATAAATACAAAAAAAAAAAAAAAATAGTATTTAGAATAACAAAAAATATTAGTAGTCAATATCTAATCTGTATACACGAATGAAGGACATTACTTTAGAAGTTCAATATGCCAATTATATTTATCATGCAGACGTAACCGATGTTTTTTTTTTTTCAAGATCAAATGTACTGCATTGCAGAGAAGAATGGAGGGGGGGGGGGTCTTAAATTTGCAGAAATTGCTTATTCATCTTCATTTAAATGCAGATGTAAAGTTTTATATTTGTGATAAATATAATGTACATTACATTTTTTAAGTAAAATATACTTTCCAGCTAGGAATTTTTATTTGTATTTGTAGAATCATAGCATTGTTTTCGTCCCAAGTCTGAAAGACGCTGTGAGAAATGTAACTTACGGAGAGAGGGGGAGGGTAGATTTTCCTCTATAAATTCAAAACGCGTCGTTTAAAAAATTTTTTAAAAAATTATCAAGAACATTTTGATCATCAGTTACAAGAAGTAATAATTTTTTTTCAAAATTAAACGACAGATTTTTTCATAAAAAAATATTTCATTTGAAAATCACGCATTTTTTAATGAGAAAATGAACCATAGTTTTTCAGTTTAAATTCTTCAAAATCGTTTTTCTCGAAGTGTACCTCTACAAATTCACTTTGTTTGTGTGTTTAATAGTTAAACGAACGATTCAGCAAATTTTGACAGCTAGGCTAACCTTAAATATTTTAAAATAAGGGATTTTATAGTTTCTTTGTTGAATTTTTTTGTACTCGTGATCAGCCAAAGGGGGGTAACTTTAGGAACTTCCTGTCCAAATTCGGCTCGAACGATTTTGACCAAAATGTACCTACACATAGTAGATATGGTCATGTATAAGATATACAAAAATAGCGAAAATTAAACGACAGGAAATTTTTGGGGTAGGTGTGTTCTACATCCTTAATTACCATTTTTTCGAGAGCTATAACCGCATGTCATTATCAATTCCTACTTATTTTCCTGAATTCTGATCCAGAATCATTTGCATGTGAAATTATATCTCCATCATTTCGTTCTTATTCACAATGAAATAACAAACACTTAAAATGCATATTTCCATCCCTAGATTCTGACAAAATACTGTTTACACTTGGAAGCAATATGCCCTGAAGGCGTCATAAAAAGTAAGGGTTGAAGAAAAAACGCGATTACTGTATCTCTTAATATGGCAGCATCCAACAGTGTGTTCAAACATAAGTTTCCTGTCTAATACCTATATATCTAAGTAACATCAATTGACAGTACATTATTCCAGGTAAAATTAATCAATGACCATCAGATGAGTGAAATATTAGGTCCCCTTCAACATCCTCTCTCGAAGTAATCTTAAGAGGCCGTGTCAGTAACCATTGAGTATTGTATATAAAATGAGTGGAATGTGAAAAAATTATTTTGCTTTAATATTTGGGTGCATGGAAGCATAGATGAATGTCCTTTCAAACATGAGTTATTTGGGTCACGTGTTTCTTGTTACCATAGCAACGGCGATTTAAATGCTTGAAAAGTGGGAAATTTGATTCTTGATAACCCTGTCAAAATTAATTACAGAATTAAACTATGTTTTTCTTAATTTCAATATATAAGGCAGATTTAATTTTTCCCATATTTATTTTAAAGCACTGGGGCCTACTTTGCTTTATTTCTATCAAATGCTGTAAAATCAGCATAATTTTTATAAATATTTTACGCAAAAACGCAACCAAACTCCATCATAATCATACATGCAATAGGAACTACGAGCTTTGCAGTTATAAATCCAATAATAAAAAATGGTAGTTGGATACTCTACAGCAAATAATTTGATTTAGAAAGTATCATAAATATGAAAGCGCGTAAGCAGATTATCCCCCCTTTGTGGAACTCTCTTGCTGATGACTAACAGAAAGTTGGAGTTGCAGCAGAAGTTGGAGAAGAAAAACACCATGTAAGCAGGTTTTGTGCGGTTACAGAGGACATGACTGCATCAAGCGATTGTAGGTGACTGAAATATCTGACGTTTTCCTGGCTTTCTGACTATTTTTATATTTTACGTGCAAGGACAACGTCAGAACCGGCGCCTTTACGAAAACTGGGAATTCCCCGCCTCCAACCAGAGGCGGCATTCTCGGGTTGATTTTCGATACTTGCAAAGCGAATGAAATGTCTAACTCACAATTTATCAATAGTACAATGCTTCTAGTACTCACCAACGTCGTTTTTATGGTTTGTTTATAAAATATATAATCCGATGGAAACATTTTATCTGACTGTCGAGATATGTTTTCATTTCGTGCATTTATACATTTTTTTTTCAAGTCCTGTATCGAAATGATGAGTGATGTTTTCTTTTCATCGATATTGTCGAGTACTAGAGGCATTGTGACAACGGCATTTACTCTGACTGGAGACGGCGAAATTTCCAGTTTTTGTAATTGCGCTAGTTCTGACGTTTTCCTGGCACATAAAATATCAAAAAGCCTGGAAAAAGGCCAGATATTTCGGACTGTATTATTTAGAGCATATTCATTAATCACTGATAAGGTCAAATTGGTAGATTTACACTCTGTATGTCTGTATGTTACTGTTCTTTTGACATGTAATATTTCAAACAATATTTCACAAAATTCATAGTCATACCCGGTATACCTCATTACCTGTACAGTATAGCATTCATTTGCATTCAACAACAGCAGTCTGTTATTCCAGATCCAGTACACCAAAATATGATGTTAAGGTATCAGCACCACAACAAGTTGACAAAACTTTAGGTGGCCAATATTGATTCGAAAAGGGGGAGGGCAACTAGGATAACAGACTCAACTCTGGTTTCAAAATTTGCTCTTGTCCTAAAAGTGGGAGGGGAGGAGAACCAGGATTTATAAGTGTTTACTATAGGAAATTTTGACTTCCCAAAAACGTGGGGGGAGGGGGGTGCTATTCCTCCTACGCCCTTGATCAGGTTGGGCACAATTGCTGAATATGAGACTATTCCACAAATGTGAGACTGTGTCTGTTTTGCAAGATGAATTTCAGCCATATTTGTCTGTTTTTCAAGTACTAAAAAAATAAATTTCCTAATTTTGATCTCAAAGTTAAAAGGGTTCATGTTTATGATATAATATTTACATTTGCAAATGTTTTCTTTTGTATAACACTATTAAGAGCAACGCGTATCTATATCCGTATAAACACGGTTCCTCGCGTCATAAACATTCGACGTAATTTCTCAGTGACATCATAAAAGGTCGACGCACAATCAGTGGATCAAATACGTGCCGTTGAGTTTGAAAAATAAAATATTTCACGCGTTAAATATTGTAATCAGGAAAATATAAAATATGAATAAGTCATAAATGTGAATATAAGTAATAATGTGACCAACCTGTATTTATATCCCGATAGATGTTTAAAAGTGATACATTATTTCTTAACTAAACAATGTTTACAAAAGAAGAACATTTGTAAATTTGCCGTTTTCGAGATTATAGCTGCAGAACATGTGCAGCTATAATCGCGAAAACTGTACATGAAATGCATGAATGCTTTTTGTAAACATTTTTCAGTATGTCCTAAAGATGAGCCTTTATAACTTAGAGAACAAAATTCGGACATTTAATTTTTTATTATAAAGCAGACAAATTTTGTTGAAATTCATCTTGCAAAACAGTGACAGCCTCGCATTTGGGATACTCTCGCATTTGTGGTGTTGTGCCCAACCTGTTGATTGGTTTCAAACAGTACAAGTAGATAGAACGTGCCGAGATCTATTAAATGGCATGTTCACTTCTGACCTTGACCTAGATATTTGACCTTGAACTTCTGAATTTTACATTTAGCTCTGTTGTGAGAAAACCATAAGGTAAATTAGTTTCAATTATCACATGTAAATAGATCGTGATGAAATCTACTGAATGGCATGATCAAATCTGACGTAAACCTTGGTATTTGATCTTTACCTTGAAATTCTGAATTATATGTTTAGGTAATTCTTCACTTCAACTAAAGCTTCACCATGGGCTATATCATCTTTAGTGGTTTTTTGTCACACATTCATCATGGGTGATGAGAGGAAGACATTGGTACATTTTGAGGTCAAAGATCAAGCCTCATATCACAATTAGACCTTGTCAAAAATCACATTCCACAAAAACTATACTTTGTTCTATCAGAAATTTTCCAATGGAGCCCTTCATGACTTTTAATATCAATGTTTTAGTTCACCGAATTTTCTTAAAAAATTTTTCAAAGGATTTTCAATTCAAATTTTGTAAAAATAGTTTATCTTCATCATAGTTGTGTATTGTTTTCTAGGTGTGACCCAGTTTGTGTGCAGTTTCAGATCATCATCAACCTCTGGATGTGGACTGATTGATTACAAGAAGACTTGGCCCGAAAAAATATTACCCTTGACCTGCTGCCAAAATTCTGTAGATTCACATCTACAGAAGCATTCCATCAATCGCAGAAGTATACAAAATGAATGTGACTTAATAAAGACGAGGGCAGGCCTTTTTAATGAGGACGATGAAACACTTACCATCTGCCCAAAACACAGGTATTACACTATACATTTGTATATGTTACATGTATTATGTATGTAATTTCTGGTAAATATACAAGCTTCTTGAGCATGCAATATATATTGTATTCTCAAACACTTGTTTATTTTATTTTGATATGTTGCCCTACATCAACATTATAATGATTTTTGCCTTCATAAAATGTCATATACTCAAGTGCATTCCAGATTGCTTGTGTTATTTATTTTTAAACTGTTCTTGAATTATAGATACATTCTTGGGGTTGGGTGGAGATCAAGCAAGATGTGTTCCTTAGGATGGAAATGTGCCAAAAAGAGCCGGAGCAATTCAAAAGGAACCATTACAAAAGAACAATCATTCTTTCTCAAGAAACATCATGATGTCCTTATACAAATTGGTTCAGGTTTGCTGCTGTTTTTCTTTTCAGTATAACTACACTATAATGCATTTTTATTATGCCTGCTGTTAGCCAGCAGAAGCATGTAGGGATCACTTTGTCTCAATGCTTGAGCATGTGTTTAGCAGGGTCATTCGTGTTCTCAAACACTTATTTTGATAAGAAAGGGATTTTATTGCAATCACCTTGTCTCTCTGTTCCTTTGTCTGACAGACAAGTGCATGCAAATATGTTGTATTGTGTATCTTGAAGCAAATTATCAGTTTGTATGTCTGTTTTGGTAAAATATTATTTTCTATCATATCTTTTGTTTGAAAGTAAGTAAATGTATTTCCTGGACTGTGCTGATGCAGAAAAAAGGGAGGCTCTGCTTCATTAATTTTTGTGCATGCATTCAAAATTTTTGCATTTTCATAATTTTTGCAGGAGTATGCACCAACTGCAGGAAAGAACTGGTACAAAAAATGGTAACAGCTTCTGCAGAAATGGAACAAGAAGAAAGTACAAAATGTAATGTAAGTAGTGACAACAAAGAGTGTAATATTTACACAAAACCAGGATATCCTTGCAATTTCTTTTTTCTCCAAAACAATGACACTTTTGTGTCTTCTGCAAAGCATAGCAAACTTAGTGAAAATTTTGTAAGGTGTCTGTCTATCAGTCCATCTGTCTGTCATACTGTAGATATCACAGCCCATAACTTTTGAATAAAGTGTGATTGGATACTTATATTCACATGTGTGTTGTTTGTGACAAGACCTTTCTGCAGTTACAAAATGGAGATATGATGTTCTTTTTTAAAAGATAACATTGACCATAACTTTTACATGGGAAGTGATACAGGGAGTTGATATTTCACATATTGATTTCTTGTGATAATATCTTTCGCTGGTCAAGGTAAATATTAGAGTCAATAGGAATGCAGGTGACACATGTACCTTTAACACTGTAGTTATTTCACGTCAACAAAGTTGAGAAGAACTAATTTGGAGTATCCCCTTTGTCCAGTTTAATGTCTTGTATCATATCTCAGCCACTATATGCTATAGGGTCAAGTAAGTTTGTAAACAGGTGTAAAATATTTTCAGGAGAATCATGATGATAATGAGTTGCAATGTGAACTACCAAATGACCATGAAGTTCAAGCAGATCCAATGGATATTGAACAAATAAAGGTTTGTGTTGAAATTTTTACATGTACTGAATTATTATGCCCAAAGAGCAGGGGCATATTTTTGTTTGTCCTGTCTGTGTATCTGTTGTCAACTTTAACCTTTGCCATGACTTTTGAACTGTGAGAGATAGAGACTTCATATTTGGTATGCATACTCCACTAATGAAGCTCTTTCAGTGACCTTGAGACCTTGACCTTTATGCTAAAACTAGCTTTTCTAAATTTGTTGCCGCTGGGGGCATACTGTTTCACAAACTTATCTTGCTTTAAATTACTTTTAGCATCAGCTTGTTTATTGTAAAGTATCAGCCACTATATGCTGTAGGGTCATGTAAATTTGTAAACAGATATGAAATACTTTCAGGAGAATCATGATGATGATGAGTTGCAATGTGAACTACCAAATGACCATGAAGTACAAGCAGATCCAATGCATATGGAACAAGTAGAGGTTTGTACTGAAATTTTTACATGTACTGAGTTGTTTAAAATTACTTTGAGCATCAGCTTGTTCATAAGAGCCCCGACTCAAAGATGCGGGAGCCCTATAGTAATCACTTTGTTCATCCATTTCTTTGTCAAGCGATAACTCAAGTGCTATTTGTCCTGGAAACTTCAGACTTGAAAAGCCATTTGACCTATGAACTTCATATTTTATACACAGACAAGAGGCCTAAAATGGGCCTATATTGCTCACCTGAGCTTGAGTCAAAGGTCGTGAAGGACCATGATATCATGAGGCACATTCATGTCATGTATGAAGCTGTTCTTTTGAGGCAGGTAGGAAATACATTTCAGACAAGAAAATTTCATTGAAGTCTACTGTGACCTTGGCATCAAAGTCTGACCTTGGGTTAGGGTCATGGCACACCACCTTATCATGAGGAGCATTGTATGCCAAGTATGAAGCTGTTCCATGAGGCATATAGAAATACAGACCTGACAAGAAAACTTCATCAAATTTTACCTTGACATTGAAGGTGTGACTTTGGCTCAGGGTCGTGAAACATTGTCTAAGCATGAGTAACATTTGTGCCAAAAATGAAGTTGTTTTAAATTAAGTTGTTAGTTGGATTTATTTTGTATCGTTCTTTTGTAGGTGGAATCAACTACAGACGACAACTTTTCCCAACCAACACCTTTTGGAAGTCAGTTATCATCTGAATGGCAGGATTCTCAAGAGCATGAAGATAGTCCATTACGTAAAAGGAAGGCCTTGAATACTTTTCTTGATGCCATAGGTGTTAGTCCAATCAAAAAAACACTAACTGTTGAATTTGAATCTGCATCAAAAAGGACACAGAATGATTATCTAAAAAAATCAAAAGATATTATTCACAACATCATTTCTATCATCGCCCCTAACCAAGAGGCTCTGTTAGAAAAGGCTATTTATTCAAGTAATCCAGACAACGAAGACACAAGCATTATTGAATCTATTTCAAAAGCTTATTCTAGCATGACCAGCTGGGGAACTCAGAGACAACTTCTTTCTTTATTGGTGGAGGACCACAGTTACAATGAGATTAAGGAGTACATACCATCTCTGTCAAAATACAAGTATACTGCGGCTCGTAAGCATGCTGCGATCAATGGCATTGGCATGCCAATAGAGAATAGATCACAGACAAGAGAAAAAGCTACAAAGGAGCAGATAGAACATTTCTTAGAGTTCATAATGTCTCCAGCAATAATGACTGATTCCCCATTTGGTACTTGTTCATATAAAATCTCTTCAGGAATCACTTTGAATGTTCCCAAAATAATTCTGAACAGTGTACGGACTAGAACTGTATCATTATATATGAAGTTCTGTGAGGAAGTAGAGTTTCGAAATGTTCTTTCTGAAAGGTCATATATGAGGATCTTGGAAGCAGTTGAACCAGGTATCAGGAAGTCAATGAGAGGACTTGATAATTTTGCCGCTGGTGGAAGCCAGGCTTTTGATGACCTCAAAAACGTTGTTAGAGTATTAGGTCAGCTTGGAAAAGGACACGAATGGTCAGAGAAGATGACTGGCATGCTTAATGAAGGAAAGCAGTACTTAAAAGTTCAATACAAGGTAATACTAACTTTTAAGATGAAATCGTAGATTTGCTGTAGATTCATTTAATTTTGGGACTACCAACATTCACCTAAACCTTCAGCTCAGGTGAGCTAAAGTCATAGCGCGTAGTCTGTCTGTTGTCTGTTATCTTTTCACGTTTTCCACTTCTCCTTTGCAAGTACCCAAGTCCTTTAAGAAGTTTGTGTTTTTTGGGCTGAGCCATCAACAGATACAGCTGCATGGCCTCTGATTGGCCGACACATTTTCAACTTCTCTTCTGCAAGCACTGTGACCCAATTAAGATTTCTATTGATTTTAGGGTCAGTCGGTCAAAATTCAAGCTCTCATTGTCCTTGTGTATGAAAATAATTTCTTGACTCAAAGTATACTTTGCAGTTGTTTTCAATATAGGATCAGTACATGACTGTGGGTCAAAGGTCATGGCCTCATTAACTTTTGTTGTGGCAGGGTATTTGTCCTGTGGGACAGCTCTAGTTTGATTCTGATAACATACAAAGACAAATGTGAAATGGTGCTCACTACATGTAAAGGTTTCTTGAATTGTCATAAATTTTTTCTGTGTGTTTTGATTTCTGTATGAATTATTATTCACTCACATATTCATCAGATGAAATTAAACATTTTCTTGTTGTTATTTTCAGTTGCACATCAGTGAGAACTCTGAAATACCTGACCACTGCTGTACTCATGCGCTGTCATCAGAGGACACTGCTTATTCAAAAGCATGTGACCATTCACATCAGAAAGTTTGTGATGAATGCAATGGCATCACCAGTCTATTGGATGAGTTACAGGGAACAATTAGTTGCCATGAGGTTAACTTCACTGATCATGACCAAAAAGATGACATTCAATATACAGTTGCAGAGGTATTTAAACCAGAACATAAAATCAATATTTGACTTGTACCGGTATTATTACGTACCTAGTTGTCAAGTGACCAAGTACGGAATTATATCTGGGTAGTAGGTTTCATCCTGTTCCTGGTCACTCTATGACTAGGTACCGATTTTACCCCACCGATGACCATTTTGACATTTACCATCTTTTAAAAATTTGTCATTGCTTCATTATTGCCGCCTGAAGTTTACCTGCTGTGACGTCAAATAAACAATGGAAATAAAGTGATGTCACAATATGCTCACAATTCATTTGAAGGTTACAGCTTATAAAGTTGAAGGTGACCAGATAAAAGATACACACTGCTTTCACGTGACTATTATGAACCAATCACTGACCGAGTTGTCACTGCAAACTAGTGAGAGGTGGGGTAAAACTTACAAGGTGTTTTTTACTGCTGAGTTTTATTTAAGGTATTAGATATTCCTGGAAAATTTGCACATCCATCCAGAATCAAACACCTAAGAGCATCCAGTGTTAGACATTCATTGCCTCTATTTACATTGCTACTGAATTTTAGATAACCTAATTTATATAAGGGAGATGTATGTTACATGTAACAACATCAAAACTTAATGTGATACACTTATCTACTTGCAGAGTGTGAAGTTGATTAAAGAATGGAAAATGCACATTATTCGCACAGTAAACCAAGACAGAGCAAGAACGAATATTTTGAAAAATATGAAGTCGGATGAAGCACTTCTAGAAAGAGATTGGGCTATGAAGTTCCTTCCCCTACAATACAGGTATTTTCTCAGGGTTTTGCAATACTTTTAGGCTGATTACATACCTTCACGTAATTTTTCTCTTGTAATTCATAGGTCACTATCCCCTCACAACAAGGTTGCAGGGGGATATTGTAATGTCAGCGTTCATGGGTTCTTGGATTTGTCTCTCTGTGTGTATGTGTTTGCATGAAAATACATTGTAAGCAGGATACAGGTTACAGTTTTGATCCAATAGATTTCAACTTCATATGAACACTGTCCTTGCCTCCATAGCTGAGCTGCCACCCCCATCACCAAATCTCCCTAACACTTATCATTTTGAATACGTGAGACTTCCCCCTACCCCCGCTTTCCTCTACTCCACACATGCTCATACTTTATATATATATATACATACATACATATATATACATATATATAAATCTATATATATAACTGAGCACCCTCACCCCTTTATAATTTCTAACAAATTGTCCCACTTTCATACCCACTTTCTTCTTATGGTCCCAACTAATAACTTCTAGTTCCACATGATAAAGCTAATCCTCAGAAATGAGTTTGTAATTGGAATGATATTCTTCCCTTCATAGACCAGGTTTTGTGTGAAAAATCTTCTCTATTCACAACTAACACACTTCAAACATGTATCCGTGTTTATTCTGTTCATTGTCAAGCAAGTGATCAGGTTTTCATGGAGTGAAGCTCAAAATTTGTTTTCAATCTAGAAGTAAGACAGTGCTTCATTTTATTACCCCCTCCCCCACAAACAAGTTTGGGGGTGGTGGTGTTACATTGAAATTACCATGTCTGTCTGTCTGTCATCTGTTTGTCCAGACCGTATCTCTGCAGTTGTAAAATAAAATTGCATCATTGTTCTCAGGATTATTGCCCAGGACCTAAGGGTGTGGGTTCCCATGGGCAACTTAAGGGTCTCTTGTTACAATATTTTAAGAAATTTTGAGATTTTGAGAAACATTTCAAGTGACAAACTTACAGTGTTTTTGACTGTAATGTAAATACATTGTAACTTAGTATTGCTCATTTATTTCAGAGAATCCCAAGCAAAATGGTTTGCTAAAAGAGGGCTGTCATGGCATATCAGTGTTCTGTCATGGAAAGAGGAAGCCTTAAGATCAGCTACCTTTGTTCATGTTTTTGATATTGCAAATCAGGATGCAATAACATCAGCTGCCATTCTGCAAGATACTCTGGGTCGAATAAAGAATCTTAATGCAGCAATACAGAATGTTTATGTACGGTCTGACAATGCTGGCTGTTACCATTCAGTTTATGGCATTGGAGTTGTTCCTTGCATTAACCAAATGAACAGAAATGATATGAATATAAAACGAATGGATTTCTGTGACCCACAAGGTGGTAAATCAATTTGTGATCGAAAAGCTGCTCATATAAAATGGTACATAAAAAGATTTGTGAATGAAGGAAATAATGTCTTGAATGCCAGTGACTTCAAGGCTGCTCTTGAAAACAAGATGAACAATGTTCAAGTTATTGTGTCTTTGCCACCAATTTCCAAATCACCAAAAGTGTTGCTGAAATTACAAAACATCAGTCAGCTTTTTGATTTCAGTTATGACAACAGAAATTTGACTGCTTGGAAGCAGTATGAGATCGGAAAAGGCAAAACAATAAATTATGACACTGCAGGAATTAATTTAAATTGGGTAATCCCTGAAATTACTCCTAAGTCTGTATCCGAGGTCACATTAACATGTCCACCCATGGAAACACAGACAAACGTAAATTCTTCATCACCCACATGTCAAGAACAAGATGCAACAGCATCCTCATGTATAGATGTCAGCAACCAAGAAATGGTGGAATCGTCGTGTGCAGATGACTGCAGCAATGTATTCACCTGTCCAGAGGATGGATGCATATCTACATTTTTAAGATACGGCCATTTGTGTAACCACTTAGATACAGGAAACCACACTTTTTCAGTTGAGAGAATGGACTTGCAGGATCGCTCAAGATTTTCGTATGCTATCCTAATTGAAAATAGACTTACTGGTCCAAATTTGAATGGATCAAAAGATGCTTCTTCAGGTGTGAGCACTTTGGAGAGAGGATGGGCTCTTAAAAAAAAGAGAGAAGTCAAAAGATTTACTGAAACTCAAAAATCCTTTATGACCAAGAAATTCAACCAAGGTGAATCAACAGGATTCAAATGTGAACCTGAAGAAGTGGCACGAGAGAAGTGTAAAAAATGACAATGGTGAACGAATTTTCCACTATGGAGATTTTCTCTCAGCATCTCAAATTGCAAGTTTTTTTAGTAGACTTTCGTTAAAGAAAAGGCAGATGTCTAACACTGACTATGAAGAAAATGACTTGACAGCTGAAGGGAACATGAACAATTTGAATCAGATTTCTGATGTGGCTCTTAAAGCAGTGAACTAAAATACATTTTCTAACTAAAATAAAGATTTTAATATCAAAGTTTTTGGAAGGGGATATAGGAATCACCCTGTTTGCTTGTCCATCTGTCTGTGGACAACACTTGGATACGTTCAGCGAATCAGTGTTTAGGTCTGTTCCTGCTTATGGCAAGTGGTATACAAACCAACCTTGTATGGATGGTTTGTCTGTGGATGGTGTGTCCATTGAATGCTTCGGATGCTGCAAGTGACCTACATTTTATGCTTTAGTGACTTTGGTAAAGTACAGCTTTTATGTCTGTTCCCACATTATTACAAGTGGTATATAAACCAAACTTGCTTGCATGGTTTGTCTATGACTGCTGTGTAAAATGAATGCTGCTAATGCTGCATGTGATCTTCATTTTATGCTTGAGTAACTGATTAAATTCATCATATAGTACTGTTGATAGTGAGTGATGTTGCCCCATAAGGGGGGGGGGGGGGGGGCATTTGTCCTGTTAGTACTGCTCTAGCTCTAGTTGGTTGGATAAACATGATAAAGAAAGAAATGCTTATGAAAGAATTTGCTTAAACTTAGACTAACATAGATAATATCTGAAATCGAATGTGTCATACTTCTTGTTTACTGTGCATAAATGTACATTGAAGAACATTTATAATTATTTCTAGCAAAATATCTCTGTAAAATATTTGACTGTACACTTCAGAAAACATTTAGTCTCAGAATCAGATACCAGATATGCTATAGTGGTGCCTAGTTGTGTCGCGTGCATAGCAAGGGAACACTTAGGGATCACTTCTCCATCGTCTGTCAGTCTGACCGTCTGTCCATCAGTCCATCTGTCTGTCACACTTTGAAATAAGTCATCCGCAGGAGACACACATATTCGATGGAACACTCTTGTTTTACGTTCATATCTGTGATACTTTTAGTGAGCATTGATATTTGAACCAGTTGATTGATCTTTGATAGTAAAACAAGATAAACTTTAATATGAAGTTGCTTTAAGCTACATTTTCACAAGGGAGCCTTGCTGATGTTTAGGTTTATGTTCATGTGAATAAGTATAAGGTCGTCTTGTGTTTCACCGACACTACCTCTCGTTGTTTTTAGGTTCATAACGAATAACAAACATGGTATAGCAATGAAAATTAGCCAGAAGATAGAGCTTTGGAGTCCCTTTGGGTTGTTGCGTCATTTTGACATATAATTTCGGTTTTCGTTATATCATATATGGTGAAGTTTTCGCGTATTTGGTCCACATTTTGACTATATTGTATGAGACATTGTACAGCAATGATACTTATTATTACTTATATAGGGTAAGTACAACAGGGTTGACAGTTGATTAGTATGCCATGACCCAAATATTCCACTTGAGAGGCTTTATTTTCCTGGGTATATGTTTCATGTTTTGCTGATCCCAGTCAAGTCGGTTGCTAGGGTATAAATTTCGTTGCTATGGAGATTTCTTTTCCTATTGTTTTGTAAAAAAAGTCATACATTTTGTGGAGATTATTGTACAGTACTATGTTTCTGTAAATTTGGTATCTAACTGTCAAATATCTGTTGTAATATTAAAAAAAATTGCCAAAACGTGCGAAAATCCATTGAAAGTGTTTTGAAAAAATTGCGAATTTTGATTTCTGAAAAAAAAAATTGGGACATCCAACTACCAATTTTTTTCATATTACTTCATAGTATTGGGATATATCTTTAACTTGATATGACACACAATATCTCGGGTTGTTGCGTTTTTAAGTATTCAACTTTTGAAAAACTTAATTTTCCACAGATATTCACATCATGAAAACCTTGTCATTTTTCGGTTACCATAGCAACCATATCAGAATTTCAAAAAATACTTACAGACATACAGATATTTTCTCCTTATGCATCTTTCATTATTTCAGTATCAAAAAACAAATTTAGACCTTCCAATTGTTCCCCCTCTGCACTTGAATATGTCTAAATTTGTATTATTTTACAATGTTTCATTGAGAATTTACTATGCAAATCACATTTGTTGCCATGGAAACCAATGATAATGAATAAATTTGTTAAATTTGTCTAAAATGTGTTTTTTGTTGTTGTTCAAATGTTTTAGGGTGGTTTTTGCCCAATTCAAAATTTTTGACTTTCCATGTAAAGCTCAATGGTTACTGACACGGCCTCTTAAACATACTGCTATCTGTATTGATAACCTACGTTAAGTTTTACTTTACATCATGCATTAAAGTTGGCAAGGACATTCGGCTTACTTCCTAAGTAAATACACACCAAGATGTTTCTGATAGGACATTCTCTTTATATCCAAACACAAATGCTCTCTAAAAGTGAGCAAAAAGAGAAAATTCGAATATTTATTTAGAAAGGTTGATACTTGAGTCTGAGTTTATGATTAGAAGATTCCTCTTTTTTCATTTTTACAAATTAAGCAATCGAGAAGATCGAAACAAACGAAGGTCTTTCGGAGTCGCTAAAATTAATACTAATATCGCGTTTTGTCAGAATTCGCTAAAAATCTAGCTTTTTCAGGGACATCGTATTTTATTTGAGAATTTTTTCCGTAGGCTGCTCTTCTTATTGCCAAACCTGGAAACCAAATCTCTTTTTCAAAAAATCTTTCTCAATAAAAACTAATTCTTATTCATAATTGAATTCTATGTATAACTGTAGCCGTGAGGTCGCTGTTGCTATAATAATTAAGTGGCTAAATTTGTAAGTAGATATATGGAATGAATATTTTAATATGAATTATTAAAAATTTGCAATCCCTACAGTTGAATTTAAACTTGAAACAGTTGTATTATAATGAATCGTTAACTGTTGTTACAGACCTTGTGTATGTTGATATGTTCTACAAACTTACAGTGTTTAACCAGATTAGACAAACACAAGAGAGAAAAAAAAAGAGATAATCATTATCACGGCCACCAATCGCTCTAACTTAAATCCAGTTGATATGAAAAAAAGATTTCGTTTTCGGGACTTCCGGATATGCGTTGGAGGGACTTTATGCATTCGCTTCGGAGGTTAGTTGAGCTCTTTTTCTTGTATTCTGACCATTTTTAACAAACAAAGAATGTGATTTGACCCCTTCGAGGTGCTCTGCTTCCATTTCCATCATGAATAAAAGAAGTGAATGTGATCATTTTATGTGAATTTGTCAGCACACTTTTTTTTCAGGGGGGTGGGTGGGTGGGTGGGTGTGTTTAAAATTATATTTTCACACCTTAAATTATGTATAGTTCCTATATTTAATACATGTACAAAGGACTGTATGCAGAAAAATTGATTAAATTTTTAAAAGCTTGTTCATCCATAAATCCGTATTCATCATGTTCATAAATTGACATTTTCTCTTTTGCAAGTTTATTATTACTCTGTATACAATTTGTACTTCGGGTTCGTTGCCACGATGCTGTCAGTGGCGAATATACACATTTTACTGTTTTACTGGTAAATTTGTTAGCACACATTTACTAACAGTCTTTCGATATATATAAATATATTCACAACTTCTAGTGTTATCAATTGCTTTAGCATTATTTCCATGCCCATTCACATCAAAAACATTTTTATTAATCATCCCTCGGGCTGACTTTTTACGTTGGGATGAAACTGCAAGCGCGCTAAAGAAACTCGTACTATTTCCTCCAACCAGAGGGTGTGCTTCTTCATGCACTCTCCGGTTAATGTTAGATGAAAAACTAGACCTCGATGTACGTATCAACTGCACTGTTCTTCGTCCTCAACGAGAAATTTAAGACATACATGTAGATTGTTCTAAGTTGGAAATTTGTACTGTTTTATATGGATTCGGAAAATACTTCAGGGCTTCTGTATATATATTATAGAAGATGAGACAGTTTATATCTAGAGGCAAATTAAACACTTGATATATAGACCCCTCGATCGCTGTTGCAAGTCACGGCTTTGTGTGTATTCCTCTGAATACGTGATGCAAGACTCCCTCGATCAATACCTTGCATCAGGCATCCAAGGGTCGAAATTCACACAATAATCCACTCCCCACAAATGTCCCCCAAAACAGTGAAAACAAGTTGCTGTCCTTTAAATAAAGACTGCAATACATGGACCATATGCATGTGTTTCTACACGAAATTCAAAGAAAATTTCTAGATTTAGTGATTTTACAAAGGTGTAATTAAATTTAATTTTTTTACATGCATCTTGTAATTTTCATCGTTATTTAAGGCTGTAATGATAAAAAAACCATGATGTTGAAATTATGTGAATATGAAATGTTGATCTAGGTATCTATCACAACTGTAAACACTGGTAAAGTACTAGTAGCCTTTAAAATTAACAACAGAATTAAAAGAGGTCTAAGCATGCAGGTGTCGTAAGGGTTGAATTGTAACTCCGTTGGCGGATCCAGGAAAGGGCGGGGGTCGGATGTTGTAACCCCATTTATTTTTGCAGAAAGAGGAAGAGAGAGTGTTTTTTTTTCCTGTAATATAGATATTTTTACGTCTAGTATTTTCAATAAAATAATTGAGTACTTCAGTCTCTGCCCTTTCTGCTCTCTAGATAGAGTTTTGCTCATTGCTTTTACTTGTACTTTCACAACCCCGGCCCCGGGCCTCGACCACCCACACACGTACGTTACATGAAAGATTTCACTTCGATATCATCGGAAGATTCCGGCGAACGTACACAGCTTTTTTGGACCATCTTCTGAAGTAACTTACTTTGAGAAGTATGCATAAAAAGTCATGAAAGGGAGTATGTATGAGAATATTTTTCTCCTCATATATTATGGGGATATTTTAATCAATAAAAAGAAAGGTTCAAAATGTCCCCGTAGTATGTTGAGGAGGGGGCTCACTTTTTCTTTAAAAAATAATTTTTAGTTATAATTTGAATATATAAGTTTTGATTTGCATTGGAAGCTCCCCCTCACTTTTTGTTGCGGGAAGGTTCAAAATAAATGTACCGAAAAGTTTAGACGAAGCCCACCTCCCCCAGAAATAGGATTTTACAGTGTGTTGCACAGGTTGTTATTTTAATTTATTCATTTATTGTTGCTTGTCAACTCTTTTTTTTTCAGGTTGCCCCCTTTGAAAACCGTTGCTACGGACTTGAATATAAGTGTCTGCAGTGTGACCTAGAACCCCCCCCCCCTTTTCAAAAACTGCTGAATCCGACCCTGTACTGGAGCACTAAAGGGTCTCGGCACCAGGGGGTCCCGAGTTATCTAAAACGATGCGAGGTTATCGATTAACTCGATCAAATTAAAAACACACACACAAAAAATTAATTTTGTGTAGGTTTTTTTTTCTCTGTCCCTTTTAAATAACGGAATGGTTAATATACAACACCTGCAATTGTAACTTCTCGGCAAAACAACGTGTTTTTCCGAGCTCGCCAGAAGATCTGAGAAGATGCGATTGACAATCTCATCGCACGTATGTAGACCTATTTGGTCTTGCAAACACAGGTGTGTGCACTGTTTGCTAGTGACGCTTAGACTGGTGACGGTATTTGCTATGGACATGGAGAACTATACACCAGTTTCATAACATTTCTAGTGAAAATTGGAGTAAATTAAAATTTTAAGTCGAATATCCTGGATATGGGGTAACCCATATCCTGGATATGGGGTAACCCATATCTATTCTTGTTACAACGACCGTCAATGCATCCATGGACGAGTTCATTGGTTACTCTGAAAGGTGGCACAGGTCAACCTTTCGTTAACATTTTCTACAATGAACGGCCTTCTTTGAGTGATTGTACTTTCATAGCAAAATTGTTAAATTTTATTCCCGATTGGCCTATAGTTTTGTCATTAAAAAATCGGGCTATTTCGATACATGTATCAGTGTAACCCATAACGGCTGGGACTTGACATATGCACAAGATTTATACGGAAGATATCCTATCATTGGAAAGAGAGATGGTACACATGTAGCACAGATATGTGTTTCTCCATCTCCCCCAAATGGAGAAACGTAGCTACAGGCCTTTATCAAGCTATATTTGGATTGCTGTCAATCAAATTATTTTGCGAACCTTGATGCAAAAAACTAATGCCGGTAAATCTTTTAAAACCTAGTAGTTGCATTAAGTTTTTAATTCAACATGTTCAAGCTGTTAAGCTATCTATAAAAGTTTTTCCTACTTATTTAAAAAGCTTGTTCCATAGAATTTAATTTGTATATAAGGATATATGTATTAAAGAGAAATTCAGATCTTGGTTACGCCAAAGAATAAATAAATACGATGTGCAGATTTTAGAGCGAGGTTTGCCAATGATTGGCATATTCTAATTCGAAAAGGGCGAATTGTTCTAACTACAAATTGTCTTTGAGGCGAACTCTCTAGCATTCTCGCGCATGCGTAGCCTGACGTAAGCCCATGGCATCCGGTTTAACTCCACTTATATATTTTCTGCGTGGACCTCAGGGTCCACGCAAAAAAGAATCTCTTTTCAGTTAAATGATGAAAGTCATGAAAGCATCAGAAGATCACTAAGACAGTAAATTCTTATAATTTACATGAGAACAGTCTTGTAAGTGCCGCTTGTGATCGTGAAGCGCGCCCACAGGTGAGAAATTGACCACAGTAGAACTCCGATAGTCGAGAGATTCACATGTGAAAAACTGCGCGGATTTATAGACAGGGGCGAACCCCCCTCCCCAAATGACGGAGAGAGAGGGGTGAGAGAGAGAATCCAGTATGTTAATCTAGTTTTCTTAGATGGTAAACGTCATTGGTTACATTGTAGAGTATACGTACTACATGTATAAAATATTTTGAATTTCCATGCAGTTTAAATAGTTTTCCATGGCTTTCATTAGTTTATTTTGAAGGCAATTCCTTTTTAGCTCACCTGAGCACATTTTCTGATCACATTTTGTCTGTAGTCCGTCTGTCCGTCTAGCTGTCCGTCTGTCTGTCCTTCCCTCTGTAAACTTTTAACATTTTCGACTTCTTCTCAAGAACCACTCGGCCAATTTCAACCAAACTTGCCACAAAATATCCTTGGGTGAAGGGAATTCAATTTTGTTCAAATGAAGGGTCACGCCCTCTTTCAAGGGGAGATA